CTTCCATATGATTGAAGACTACCCTGAGAAGCTGAAGCTTGTAGATAAAGGGGAAAGCTGGTTGAGACTGGTGAAGCACAGAGAGCTGAAGCTTGAAGACCAAGTTGATACTTATGAAGAGGATTCAATTGAGATTGAGCATAGAGTTGAGGCTTGAGGAATAAAGGACAAGTTGATACTTGTACACTGATTCTTGGAGAACCTGAAGGAATCAAGTTGATACTTGTAGTTAAGAGTGAAGCCTGAAGGTGGAATTTGACTGGAAAGCTGAAGCTTGAAGAAGAAGATTAAGTTGAAACTTATGTTGAAGGGTTGAAACCTGGAGAAGCAAATTGATATTTGTCATGAGTGAGGATAGCCTTGAAGGGTGATTGAAGTCTGAAGACTGGGATTGCTGTCAGAAGAGCTGAAGCTTGAGAGAGAGGGGTTGATCTGCTTTCTTGTCTGTTTTCTTTTCTGTGCTGATGTGCCTTGTTTGACCTGCTTGATGCATTAGAATAAGTTCATATCTAGGAGCATGATTGCACTAGGGGTTGAGTTGCTCCCTCTGCTTGTATTGTTACTGTATGGCTTTGCTTGCGGGTATTCGGTAGAGTCGTGCTCCCTTGCCTATGTGGTTTATTTTGCTTGATAGCATGTTTCATTCTTTCTGTATGATTGCAGTTTACTGATATTCTGCTTGATAGCATGTTATTTATTATTGCAGTATGATTACTGTTATTCATATCTGGCTTGAGGTTGAGATGAGCTTGTGGAGGCTGCTGCCCCACACACATTTCCTCCCTCACTTGCATTGTATGCATTGTATTTACAGATGTTTACTGTTTACTGTTTAAGCTGATGCTTTATCTGTTTCTGTTTATCATTGACATGATCCCTTAGGAATCTCACTCCCTTTGATAAGGAAGTGATGATAGAACTTTAGGTTGAAACCTATGCATGATAACTTCTAGGAGTTCCCTGTTTCAAACTTCAACTATAGGATGAATCCTTGGCATGACAACATTAGGACTTGATAGTCTCCCTTTAGTTGAGCCTGTTCTCTTCTCATCTCAAAACAACTTAAGATACAGTAATCATGAATGATTTCTTTCGTACGTCACGAGCCTTAAGCTATCTGAGAAAGGATTGTTGGAGAGTTTCTTTTCAACAGTCTGGATGTTTAGTATGGTACCCTTTGGGTGACATGCGACGCATTTCCTCTCAGGTCATAGTCTCTAGTGCAATTGAAATTGCAAACACAATAAAAAACACTTCTTCCGTAAAAGACAGAAAACAAACTTCAAACCTTTTTGCCTCGTGGGCCTATAATTCAATGGAAAGCTTTTCTGAAGAAAAGAGTGTCGTTAAACTTCAGCGCCATTGCAAACAGGCTTTGTCCCTAACTGCTGGAACTGCTGTTTAACCCTACTCGATAAAACAGATGAATCTGAACCCCCGTAATCCGTCGTAGCCCGAACTACGTAAGCTCTGATCTCTCATACCTGTTGAGAGTACGTAGGCACAATACTGACGTATTGGCGAGCCATCTTCCCCGTAACCCGTAGTTGGTCGAACTACGTTGACTCTGATTTCTCATTCTCTGATGAGAATACGTAGGCATAAAGTGCGACGCTTTGCCGAGTCATTTTTCTTTTCTTTTCAGACCAGCCTTGGTAGGTAGATAGATAAACCAACTCGTCCAGTAAACACAACAAGCGTGGATCCCATCGAGTACGATGGACGTGAGGGGTGCTAATACCTTCCCCTTGCGTAACCGACTCCCGAACCCAGACAACGGTTGCGATGACCTTGTCTTATACCTTTTCGTCAGGTTTTTCCGATCATTTCCTTTCCCGCTCCGAGGGATAAATAACGAAAGGTGGCGACTCTTCTGTTTTGCCGGCACCTTATTTTTGCGGAAGCGACATTATCATCAAAACATAGAGATATTACTAAGAAACAATCTGTGTTCTTACAATAAGGAGTTCGACATGAAGGATCTGGGAGTTGCGTCTAGAATTCTTAGGATTGACATCCGAAGAGATAAAATGCAGTCGAGATTATGCTTATCTCAAGAGGCATACCTACGGAGGATTCACGAAAAGTTTGGTATGTCGAATTCAAAGCCTGTTGTGACTCCGACAAACCCTCAATTCAAGCTGAGTATAGATAAGTGTCCCGACACGAATGTTGAAAGAACTTATATGAATATCATTCCATATGCTAATATAGTAGGTTCTTTGATGTATGCTATGTTTTGTACTAGACCCGACATAGCATATGCAGTAAGTCTTGTAAGCAGGTACATGGTGAATCTTGGAAATGCTCACTAGAAAGCCTCGAAATGGATTCTAGGTATATAAATGGGTCTCTTAATAGAGTCCTAATTTATGGTGGAGCCTTGGGTGAAGATAGTAAAGCAGCAATCGAAGGATATGTCGACTATGATTATGCAAGTTGTATGGATTCCAGAAAATATGTTTCTGGATATGTGTTCACTATGTTTGGGACAACAATCAGTTAGAAAGCAACACTTCAGAATGTCATTGCCTTATCAACCATTGAAGCGGAATATATTTCCCTAACTGAAGCTGTGAAGGAAACATTGTGGCTTGAAGGTTTTGCAAAGGAGTTAAAACTTCAAGGTCGAGTTACCACTGTTAAATATGATAGCCAAAGTGTAATACACATGTCGAAGAATTCAGCCTATCATGAGCGAACCAAACACATTGATGTGAGGCTACATTTCGTCAAAGGGGTAATCGAGCGTGGAGAAGTCCAAGTGCTGAAGGTTTCAACAGATTATAATGCTGCTGATATGACCACCAACATGTTGCCCAGTTGCAAGTTTTTCCACTGTATGTAGTTGATAAAGCTGCATGAAGAAAGCTAGTTCCTTGATGTTATAGAGTTAGATCCAAGGTGGAGATTTGTGAGATGTTGGATCGAACTCTAGTATGGTCGAAGGGTAGCTTCTGGTTCGACATGAATTAAGCATGAGGTCGAAGTATGTCTGCATGCTACTATCAAAGTAACGCGTGTTGTAGTCGAAGTTTGTTCTAACATACATTAGTCAATATTGCTAGGGTTGTTAGCATGTTAAATTGGGCCTTGCTTGTAAACCAAATTGTTTAAGTTAGTTTGTACCCTAAGTTAGCTTGTAATGGGTAATTGTTAAAAAGCTCATTAAGTTAGTGTGCTATTTTTCTTATAAATAGGATACTAGTTTTTCAATCTTGGCATAAGGAAAAATAGGAAGATAAAATCCTAATTTCAAGAGAGAGAGGTTATTTTGTTTTTCTTGTATACTTGTAATCTTGTTCTAAGAGTAAGGAAAGAATAACAGTTTAACTAATCCTTGTTATTTCTTGTTGTTTTACCTTGTTATCTTTGTTAAACCCTAACTCTTGTGTGTTTCTTGATCATAAAGAAATCGTTTATATTTTGTTTCAAGACATCTGATTCACAACACTCTTTTTCTCCTTCATCAAAGTCTTTATTTGCAACAGCTAACACGGAGACTGAAGACACTCTGTTCGTGTGAACTGAGTAGAGGCGTTATTCTTTCTTCATCGCTTGTGATCATTCATCTAATTCTGCATTAAAGGTTTTAATCGACATAAGAGGTAACCATTTCTATCACTGATCATGCTCATTCGTAAGGATCAAATTGATAGAAATTTTTATTTTTCGATGCGTATTGTATCACGATTTCCTTCATATACAATATCAAGGATTTCTTATTCTGAACCATCCTCATCATGAGCTAGGGCCTTCCAAGGAACATAACCCAGAGGGGTCACAAGAGTGTTCTCGTACCAAGTTTCATAAATGTGAAAGAAAAATGTCTTGTAACACCACTCCTTTTAGTGTTATTGAAAAAGAAGTATTAGAGAAATGTCTTACTATCAAAAGAAGTTGGACATGAGATAATCCAGCTCCAAATGACATGACGTAATATCGACTCGACTCAAGATCAATTGGATCCTAATAGAATGTTGAAGGATACAGCACCAAACAATACAAAATCTCATTCCAGTATTGTGCATCTTACTATGGATAAAACATGTACCTGCGAGTACCTGTCGAAACTCACCCCGAGTTTGACAAGGAATACCCACTTTGATTGGGGTTGGGATCCACTGCATTTCTTTGTCCCTCCATTTTCTCTATTACTATAGTTTTTATGTATATAAAATTAACTAAATATTAATTATATGTCACATGTCTTAGAAATGTGTGTTATTTACACACAAAACTATAATAATGGAAAAAATGGAGGGACAAAGAAATGGAGTGGATCCCAACCCCTTTGATTGGGTTCGAGTACGAGTTTGAGTTTTTCCCAATTTTAAAAGATGGATACAGGACTTAGAATGAAGATACTAGTACCCACGCCGAACTTGCCCTATTGATAATTTGAAATATTTCATTTTGATAACTTATAATATTAACTTTTTTGCTTAATACATTGATATTTTGGTTCTTATATTATTATTTAAAGTATTTGAAATGTATATTAAATTTTTTTTCACGGATTGTTTTATCTTATTATTTCTAAGTTTATTAGAGTTCAAGACAAATTATTGATTTGAGAAAATTGATTATTCAATTTAAAAGATGTGGGGATGAGATGAGACAAGAGGAGGATGTCCGAACCCATTTGTGACCTGTTTTAAAATTAATTATTTGTTTTCGTTTGAATTTCAATTATAAAACTTCTAACCCTCTCTCTCTTCTCATAAAAAAATTGAATCAAATACATCTATTTTAAAATATTTTTTCTCCTCTCCTTTAAAATCCCCTATCAAATTCACCAAAAACTTTAAAGACACTCTGATTGAGTATAGCAACTGGGCACACCCAGACTTCACTCAAGTGCAATCTACTTCCGTCGCCGAAATACACTAACCACAGCGGGCATCACTTTTAATCTTTTGAAATTCATTTTACACAATAAGAAAAATCTCCCAAAGAAAAAGAAGTTCAGCCAAGAAGTTGTAATATTTAGCATAGTAATGGAGTTTCCTCCTTCCTCTACCGCCATGCCATCATACGACACCGTTTTCTACGCCATATACCCCGATTCAACCACCACCACAACCGCCACTCTCCAATCACTCCACCTCCAAATCCTACAAACCATCTCCCCCTTCACCACCGACTACATCTGGCAACACCAGCCCTTCAACCTTTCTCTCTCCGTTCCCCCAAACCCTACCTGTCAGTGCCCTTCCTCCTCAAAACTCCCTCACCTCCACGGCCACCTTCGCTACGGAGACAATCTCGACGATGAATGGTTTACCGTCTTCCTCCTCTTCCACATCTCCACCCACTTTCCTTCCCTTTCAATCCGTCTCTGGGACTCCGACGGCGAGTTTCTCCTCATTGAAGCCGCCTTCCATCTTCCTCGCTGGGTTAACCCTGAAACCTCCGACAACCGTATATTTCTCCGTAACGGCCATATCCACATCATACCCCGTAGCAGTCTCTCTTCCCCATCTCTAACGGATTCACTTAACTTCCTATCAACCTCCGAGTCCAAATCGCGGGTCTCTGAACCTGTTCAGACTGCTATTATGAACAGGATTAAGGATTACCCGAACCAGGCAAGGAAAAACATGCATAGTGTTAGGGCCAGGGTTCCGGTGTCAGTTGCAAGGGTTCTTAAGCATGAGCCGTGCTTGATTTCGTTGGCAGTGGAAGGATTCTATGACAGGGACATTGATGCAATGAAATTTGCGGCGAAATTGGAGAAATTCTTGGAGAAAGGGAAAGGGGAAGAGTTGGTTTGCGTTTCTGTGAAGATGTCGAGGGCTATGTATGCACAGCTTGTTCAGCAAACGTTTAAGGCTCCGAAGGTTTATCCGGAGCTCCCAAGCCGAGACAGGAGGGAGGAGTTTGCGGAGGCTGAGTTGGGGTTGAAGATTACTTGTGGGATGGAAATGATGTATCAGCAACGGAAGCGTGACGGGGTTGAAGGGAAGGGTTCTACTTGGGAAGTGTTCATGCAGAGTTTGGAGAAAAGTGGTTACTTTCAAGGGCTGCTTCCGGGTTCTAGTGAGTATCAGAGGTTGATGCAAAATGCTCAAGAGTATTATAGAAACACTTCTCTACACTCCAAGGCCAGGTTAGTGAGCTGATCTTTCTTCTTCCACAAGCATGATTTACCAGATATATTGACTCATTGGTTGTACAGAATATTAAATATAGAACCGATAGATACTAGTGAAACTCCTTGGATTTACCATTAGTCTTAATGTTAAAGATATCCACAGTGTTTGGAATTGGAAGATAGACATTGATTCTAATCAAGTCTTGTTTTTAAGTTGAATTAGCTCTATGATATCATTTGTTTTTAGCTCACAAGTTTACTTGGATTTTGTTATTTTATCCTTACTAAGGTGAGAAATATTATTGGGTTCAAATTACTTGGTGAGACGGTTAGAATGGATGGGCAGCGTTCTTTGTTGTTTTTGTTTATGTTATTATTCTGTTTGAAATATGGGGGCATTAAGGAATATTCTACTTGGGTTATAAGAGTGATATTGTTTGATTTTAGGTCTCTGGTTTATAATGGATGTTGAAAATTTTCTTACTATTGGGACTGGGGTCATACAAGGAGAGGTATTTGGATGAGGGTGTCATATGGTCTGTGGCTCCTCGATCCAAAGGAAAATAGAAAGTACATTCAAGCCATAAAACCTAATGAAATTGGAAGCATACCTGAATACGTCGAAGTACAAATACCCATTTTTTCCCCAAGCTATTGAGGAAAGCCGTCATTCTTTCAGGCTCTTCTTGGTTAAGGCTATTTAATCCAAAATTGCTTGAAGGTTGTGTTTTGCATTCAGTAGCATCTTTATTTTATGAACACATAGTGATTACAATGATAATAAATGAGCAAATGCAATTTAAAACGGATCATTTAAGCTAGCAATATTTCTTAAGATTCATTTAGCTAATTTGCTTGCTAAACAATGAACCTAAGATACTCGGAAAGTGGAGTATTGATATGTTTTAATTTCCAACAGTGGACTTTTGTTATTTTATCATTGCTATTTGCTAAGTTGAAAATTGTTGCAGTGACTTGATGAGTGCTCCTGTTAGACGCATAGATGAAATTCTTGCTTTGCCTTATTCGGTGGACGAATTTAAAGATCAGGAGGTTCCTCCATCTGATAGTGATTATTGGCGTTACAACGGAGAGGAAGAGTTAAATTCTGCTCTTAACGAAAGACAAAAGGAGATGGAACTTTTTGACTTAAAACACAAAAATAAAGGGAAAGGAAAAAAGGGTCAAGATAATGGTTCAAATGCTGATGAGTTTAATCCTGGTGATGTAGCAAAACTTATGCGAGCATTTGTTGACAAGGTGTCAAGTTTTGAGGGTGCTGAAGCTCCTGAAGACAGGTCAGTTTCACTGCATACATGTTCATTCAAGTTATACATATTTGATACGCACGCTTCCAAGTTCCAACGATTATCATATAGGAATATTTTCTGTGAGAGAATTTAGGTCATGAAAAGGTTTATTTTTTCCATAATGTTTGGCCATTAGTATGTATTAAGTTCCACACATTTATAATGATCCAAGTTATTAACTCTAACCTTTTGGTTAATCCTGAGATTTGGACAAGTCAGCTTGTCCTGCTTGGGTGAGATTAAATTTCAGATTATATAGGCTTATCTACTGCAGTAACCAGAATGAAGTATTGTATCAAATAAATTACTCCTGAAGTATTTCTATCCTGCATGAATGAGCTTATTAATAAAAAACTGTCCAAAAAGCTGTTTTGGACTTTCATAACCTAAAATTCAGAACTTAAAAAACATGTTTTTGTGAAAGCTAAAAGCAGTATAGGTGGTATCTATTTTTATAATAACTTCTGACCAAATTAACCTTGTCGAATTGTTGAAATTCTCTTCCTCAATTAGCATTTCTCAAATGGCCCATTCAGATGTTATATAGCTTAATTCAGACTGTACTTGTATAACACCGCGACTTATTTAACAAGTTCTACTATAATAATACGATAATTAGAACACATCTAAGTGTTTTTTTAAAACACACATGGTAAAGTAGGTGCTGATATCTTGTTTTAAATAACTGTTCCATTTGTTATATGATAATATTAATAAGTTGTACAGCGGTTATTCCTATTACTAATTAATTTTTGCTATTGTAGTCACAAACTCACAATATATACACATATGGGTGATACTTTGTTTTCTGTTATACCGTCCATTGCCTAATCATACATGCTAAGAAGCATGCTAGCAAGGATGAGAGTGGAACAACAATGAGCAAGAACTGGATTACTGTTAATTTTATGTAACAGGATGTTTGAGTGACTAGGATTATGGATTATTAGAATAATAGAATTTGTGAGTGGAGAGATGCTAAGGGAATCTATCATGGTTGAGCTGGTTAAAAATTTGGGACTGAGGAAGTCTAAGGGAAAGGGGTATTAAGGGTTCTGTTGATAGGCACATTGCAGCCCCTCGAAATGTGGCTTATTAAGTCTTTTTTATTATTTCTTTTATATTATGTTCGTCATTTCCTTGTAGTGAGTTACTGGACATCTTCCATTTTTCATCCAACAAGAGTGGGATTAAGTTTTTTTATTGCAAATTCAGTAAAGTCTTAGTTTTCTATCCAAACTAAATCACAGTTTTTTTAACATTACCTTTTTGGTTTTAATATATGGGTAATGCTAACTTGTGCCCTTGGGGCACAAGTTAAGAGATAAATATAGTAAATTTTTTTGGGAAATTGTGTAATAAATTTAATACAATTTTACAATTGATGATTTTATTGTTTTTTTCAATACAAATTTACTATTTATGGCTTTTTTAACTTGTGCCCTTGGGGTACAAGTTAGCATTACCCTTAATATATTACTTCATTATGATGATATCTATTTATCTTGAACACTTGTGAAGAAATAAGGAGGTGGACTTTGATGCGGATCAATTTTTCAAAGAGATGGAATCAGTAATGAATTGTCCAGGTGAAGCTGCCAACAGTAATATCGAAGAAGGATCATCATCTGACCTGGACTTCGGTAAGAATTCATGTTTATGTCTTCATACTCTTAATACTTATAGGGAAACTTTTTATCTAATGATTGTTAAATTTTATTTAAATAGATCATTTCTTATTTGCCTTACATTTAACTTGTCTTTGTTTCTGCCACTAGATTATTGGTATAAGTGTTGTGTTACAAACTTTACAATTATTGCATTTATGTTTCTGTGATATGCCATTCATGCATGCACACTTGGGTTCACATCTCACCAGTTTGACATTCCATTTGGTTTAAAGTTGGGTATTGGTTATCTCCTCAAGTTTGTTATTGAGCAATGTAACATAGACCAATAAAATTTCTTAGTTGTTTGTGACACTGAGCCGTATGAAATATGATAACCAAAGTAACCAGTACGTAGGTTTTAGTATGCATAGAACTGTAGGACTAGCGAATTAGTTGATTACTGGAATTCAATCAAAAAAATGATTATGTGATCAGTATTGTGTTTTCCTTGCATCTTAGTATCTCTTTTGGGCTCTGATATTTATTGATGATTATATAGATGATTCTGACGAGAATGACGAGGTTGAATCTGCTGAGGAGAATGACGATGAAGAGGATAATTTCGTACAGGCTTATTCTAATGCTATGGATGAACAACTAAAGCCAACAACCCTTCCGAAAACTTTTGTTGGTGTTGATAAAATAATTCCAAAGAAGGATGAGGTATTTTGTTTGGGTTTGCATGAGTAAAGAAGTTCTAATTCTAAACGTTATGTTTATGGATGGTTAAACGGCATAAAATATTCAAACCACACAAGGTCAATTGAAAGGGGAAAAAATAAGTAATTTGTCTCTTAAATATGCAAAGATATTTCATTTTGGCCATCTGTTTTAACATCAATTATCTATCTGCCTGTTGAAAGGGGAAAAAATAAGTAATTTGTCTCTTAAATATGCAAAGATATTTCATTTTGGCCATCTGTTTTAACATCAATTATCTATCTGCTTGTTGCTACATTTCCTCATTTTATCATTGTACGATAATTAAGGAATAAGATTATGGGGAAAAGGTTTGCGCACCTGTGGGGTAGTTCAGTTTATATTTTTTTGGCAAACTTTGGTCAGTGCTGTTATATGACTGATTCTTTTTAAAAAATTACTTTCAGGGAACATCACATGCCGCAGAAGATATGGATGAGGACTTTTCTCCTATAGACGTGGATGTAAATTTAGTGCAAAGCCTTCTTGATTCATTTTCTTCTCAACAAGGGCTTCCTGGTCCTGCATCCAATTTGCTTGGCCTCCTGGGGGTGAAGTTACCACAAGATGCTAAGAAGGGAAAGTAATGCTATGTTACTAGAGTATTTACCGAGGTTTCTAAAGTTGATGTATTCTCAAACGGGGTAGTCTCCAGGTAAAGAGATGTGTAATCTGTTAGCCAGAATCTTTTTTCTCCAGAAGGTAGTCCCCTAGTCGGCAGAGAGCATATGGGAATGACTAATCTCGAGGTTGAATTGCACCCAGTGTTGGTGCTCGATTTGTCAAGAGAACAGTGTTATTTCCTTACCTTGTTTGGACAAGGGAACCAATATACATATAGCAAGTTATTTGGCTGTATTACAAGTGGTAAGAGAGGCTTAGTAAATTTGGAAATAGGATAACCTTATATTTTTAAGTATATGTAAATCAGAAGAAATGGTAATTATTTTCATTATTACACAATTTGGGTTATTGGTAGTTTCCAAATGAATTAAACCCTACTGAAGGGGGGATATCTTCCAGGTACTGCTAGTGTTTACTTGCAAGATCATTATTTCTAGGTTTAATTTTATACTATTAATTAGTTTTGGGTTTCAGCAAGGTTGACAGAATATTAATGAGATTGATCTGTAAATAACCATGCAACATTAAATGAGTGAATTTTGGTTTTGGTCTCTAAAACCTGAAAGTATTGTCTCATGTGATGTTGGTTAACTAATTATGTATTTTATGAAATGACATGTAGGTCATTCCAAGAGACATTCATGTTTTAGAGGAATGAAAATTAAGTAATGGTCACGGGCTTAATCAAATTTCAGTCATTTTACAAGGATCACAAATAGTAATTTCGAAGAGGAAAAAGGGAATCCTTGGATATATGTTGAAAAAGAGACCTCAAAACAATTGAGTAAACCAAAAAATGCATTTTGCCATATGTTAACAGTTATGGACAAAAAAAAAGAAGAGAAAATGAATCTCTTCCTTTAGAGTCAAAAGACTTCTCAATCCACTATCTAATGAAACTGATGAATGATCAAAGAAACAAAATAGAAATCTAGCAAAATATATTACAGATTACTCTAATCCTTAGCAGACTTGACCCTTTTATTCATTCCAGGGGCCATGCAGGAGAAAAAGGATTGTTTCTTTGGTTTCACGCCAAAGATAAATGATCTCAGAGGAACCCTAGCCCGAGATTCTGACTGACTTAGTAGTCCACTTTCTTCTCTCTTTGAAGTAGATAACCCAAATCGCTCATTCAACTTCACAAGTGCCTTTTCGACTTCAAGTTGAAGCAATGTTACCATATCTAGACCTGCTTGAAGTTCATCAGCAACCTTATTGTTTTCCTGTTTCATGTTCAAAACCTCACCTTGGAACTTGGCTGCTTGATAGCTCGTGAACTTGAAATCTTCATCTTCAGCACTGGCTTTCAATGCATTTGTTATCTCCTCTTGGATGACACACAGAGACGAGAATCTACACTGCAGTTCTTTTTTCAGCAGTACACTTTTCTCAAACCAGACTGTTATATCAGTTTGAATCTCTGTCAGGTGTTTGTAAATCGGCCGCGCATCTGATTTTAGACTATGCTTTAAACTGCTACTTCCTTCTGACTTTACTTTTTTCTCAAGTTTTGATACCTCGGTTTGCAAATCATTGATAGTGGTTTCAAACCTTTGTATCTCAGCATAAGTTGTACTGAATTTTAACCAAAAACTTAAATTTTCCTCTAAAACTTCATCTATATTGGACCGGAACTTCTCTTCAATAGCTGATGTAGATTCAGGTTGATCAATATTTAGAAGTTTTTCAATGTCATGTTCTTCTTGTGGTAGAATTGAAGTTGAGTCAGTCATGTCCTCATTTCCCTCCAAGGTTATCTGCAAAAGACTGAGTTTCCGATGTAAATTTCTTATTTCTTGATCTTTCAAGGAATTAGATGTCTTCAGTTCATGCAACTCAGATTTCAAACAACAATCCAAGTGCTTGTCTTGATTTTTGTTCTCTATTTCGACGAGCTTCTTCTTCAAATCCTTGTAATTTCGAAGAGTATTAGTGTACTCAGTTAGAAGAGTTTTTTCTCTCTCTTGCAGTCCATTCAGAAACATTCGTCTCCAATCAGGTTCATCCTCTGCTGCTGTTGCATACTCTTTATGATCAACTCCAAGAGTATTCTTGGTTTTCGTTGAACTGTGCTCAGAATCATTTTCTTGCAGCTTCTCAAAACTCTTCGAAGAATGATTTTCAGTAGTTGCAATTGTACTCACAGCCACTGTTTCTTTTTCACCGTCTTTTTGATCATCTCCAAGAGTGTTCTTTGCCTTAGTTGAAACTGTCTCAGCATTATTTTCTTGCAGTTTATCAGAACTCTCTGAAGAATGATTTTCAGTAGTTGTAATTGTACTCACAGCTACCGTTTCTTTTCCATTCTCTTTGTGATCATCTCCAAGAGTATTCTCTGTCTTACTTGAACTTTTTTTAGCATCATTTTCTTCCAGTTTCTCGAAATTCTCCGAAGAATGATTTTCAGTAGCTGTAATTGTACTCAAGGCTCCTGTTTGTCTTCCATTACTTTCTACCGGATTAAGATCCTTCTCTTGTTCTTTTAACTCTTTTGGAGGTTTGTTTTCCACTGAGGCTGCTCCTTCCGTTTCTAAGGTATTAGGGACCTTAAGATTATTTTCTGGTGAATCAGTTACTTTCCCTTCAGGTTCATGTTTTGATTCATTTTGGTCTGATGAATCTGCTACCTTAACCTCCTCACTTGGCTGCAAACTTTGGACTTGCACTGAGAGGAGATCGATACTGGAACGTGCTTCGGTGAAATGAGTCTGGAGATCGCTATTCTGATCTTCAACAGTTTGGTTTAGATCTTGAACCACAAGAATCTTCTGTTCCATTTCTCTCAGTTGTTCGTTCAGTTTATTTTTATCTTTGATCAGACTTTCCTTATCGTCTTCCAGAGCTCGAACATCGCCTTGAAGTTCATCAATTTCTGTTCTCAATGTATTCACTAGAGCAGTCTGAGATGAAACCGAAGTTTCCAAGCTAACCACTTTGTTCACAAGCTCATCAATCTTCTCCGCCATTTCTGTCGCAGCCAGAGACGAATGAGAGCTAGCCTCAAAGTGCACCTTAACAGTTTCCTGTAACGACTGCAAATCATGTATCTGTTGTGTCAATTCCCCCTCTTTGTTTTCCAAGTGCTTTCTCTCTGCTACGTTTGTTACATCTCTTTTGACCGTCGGCTCTTTGGACTCGCTCCGATCATATTGAAACTCATTCATGAGAGAGGCTAATTTCGCCTTAACATCTTTTATTCTTTCGGATTCAACTTTGGTTTCATCAACTGAACTTTCCTGTTTCACTTCCAACTGTTCTAATGTCTCTTGGCATGACTTAAGAGCAGCTTCAGCCATCAATCGGCGCGCTTCATCGTCCTCAATAACAATACCTTCTCCGATTTCATCTTGCAGATCAGAAACTTTCTCTTGTAACTCCTTGATCTTCTCTCCCGTTTCCCAGTACCTCGCCATTGCATTATCGTATGAGCTTTTCACAAACTCCTTGACAGTTTGAAGAGACAGAATCTGTTTCTGCAGCTTGTCAACTTCCTCAAGCGCCTCCTTTCTGCTTAATCCAGATTTAGGAACTTTAGAAGCAACCGACGACGTTGCAGTCTTTTTTGCATTAAGTTTCTTCGGGGCTGTCGTCGCTGCTGTTACCACGCTTTTCAAATCTCTAAGAGGAGGCTTTGGAACATTTGGTTTGTACCCTTCCGTCGGCGTTTTTTTCGGAGTCCTCGGCGATCCACCGTCCTCTTCTTCATCCATATACGGAACTCGATCCGGAAAAACAGAAGCAATGGTGTTATTAGCATTCTGCAACTCTGTCGAAATGTGATCATATCGTTCCGCTAAAGCTCGGTAAGCCTTGTATGTTTCTTCGATAAAACTTATCAGCTCCGGTCTCTTTTTGTAATACATTTCTGCTCTTTTTGCAAACGAGTCTCCATCTTCCTCTACGAGTTTTATAGCATGCTGTACCTTTTCCTCCATATCTGAATTTTATATATAAAACAATTAAACCTATTCTATATCTATATCTATATCTATATATCTAATTCCTTAAACCACTTCAGTCATAATAAGAATATACTACGTTAAAACCAAAGTATGAAAAAGAGAATGAACCTTGAAGGTTTTGCTCCATCCATTTTGATTGTTTTGTTCTGATGTGACTAGCCCACCACCATGAATATGCATTGCTTGCTGCTCTTTGCAACATTTTTGTTTGTATTTTTTTCTTGGTCTTTGATGATATTTGAGATCTTATGATGTTATAACTATAACGTGTGAGAATCAAAAACATGCAAAGCGTGTTTCTTTTTTACTCTATCTATGGAAAGATAATGAAGACAAGACATGGAATCCATGATGCAAAGGACCATGAGAAGAAAATATTAAAAAAATGAAGAATTAAAGAGAAAAAAAAAAAGATTTTCAATGAAACATCGTGAAAGACATCGAGAAAGAGAGAGAAAACGTGTAAAAGGTGTTGTGGTAATTATGAGATGATGGAGGGGAGCAAAGTTCGCATGAAATTTATGTCCAAGAATATTTTCTCTAGAAAAAAGCGTGACTGTGAAAATATAGTAACTTTTTTTTAAAGTTTATAAAAGAAAAATTTGGTTGCATGACATTGACATGTATAGTTTCAGCTTTGCCAGTTCACCTCACTCCTTTTGCTTTTGGAAACCACTTTTTATTTTTCTTTTCTTGGTTTTTTCAAGATCTAAATGTTGCTTCAGAAAATGAAGAGATCTTTAATATCCTTTGAGTTAATTAAGGTGTATTATTAAGGAAATCAATCCTTATATTATGCTTACTCTCAAACTACTCCTAAATTTCATCGGCACTAAAAAATGGCCGACTTTTGTTGTAGAAAGTTGACAGCTTTTGTATAACAATGATTTTACTAAAGTTTGAGAGGAGAAGTCCTGTATTTGAACTTTCGATGTTACCTATGTTAAAGAGTGTTTCTTGTCACGTTTGAATCACGTCTAGAGCAAAAATTATTCCATCTAAAGATAAAAGAATTAATATTTATTAATATTTGTTGTATTTTAAATATTCTAACATTTGTTTTAGTTTCTTTAAAAAAATTCTTTGAATGATCATGTAAAGTAAATTTTCTATTCATAATATTAGTTTTTCTTCAGTCAAATTCAAAAGCAAAAGTTATGAGGCAAGTTGATTGAGCATTTTTTTATAACCATTTGTTGATTGAGATGATAATTAAGGCGTTATCTTCCGTGAGAGATTTATATATATCTTTCGTCGTACACGATCAAGATTTTATTTTTTTTCTTCTATTTTTCAACCATTCATTGGGAAATATTTTGCAGGGTTTTAGACTGCCGCAGTCCAAAAAAGTTTTCAAATAGTGGAGGTTATTGACCTTTTTCTTCTATTTTTCAACCATTTATTGGGGAATATTTTGCAAGGTTTTAGACTGTCGTAGTCCAAAAAAGTTTTCAAATAGTGGAGGTTATTGACCTCTGCAATATACTGTACTGAAAAACAATATTACGTAGTGTAGTAGTTCAAAATTTCACAAAATAAATCCTGTAAAGAACCTTCGCTAAATGGTTGAAAAAAAATAGAATCTTGGTTTCGCATGATGGGAGACCTATACAAGTCTCTAATAACCCACATTTTGTGAGTTAATACAAGTTCTAATATTAGAATAATTTTATTTTATTTACCATTAGGTAGTTAAATTTATTGTATTTTGTAGCTTTTAGACTAGTTTGTTAAAAGCACAATAGATGCTATATTGAGTAGTTTTTATGTGGTTGTTGCTTTTTGAAAGGTTAATTCTAATGAGGTAAGACAAGACAACCGAGGACAACAGGTGAGAGTCAAAGAAAAGTAGAAGGTTGAAAGCAGTTGAGAAAAAGAAAAGAAAGAAAATCAATAATTTCATATCTAGGGCATACATAACATCAATTTGCATTACAAGGAGTATTAATGTGATTAGAGATGCTAAAAGACAAAAGATAGTACGTAGTACCCCCATTATGCGCGCCACACAGTAAAATTTTCTATTCATAATATTAGTTTTTCTTTCGTCAAATTCAAAAGCAAAAGTTATGTGGCAAGTTGATTGAGATGATAATTAAGGCGTTATCTTCAGTGAGAGATTTATATATATCTTTCATCGTACGAGATCAAGATTTTTTTTTCTTTCTATTTTTCAACCATTTATTGGGGAATATTTTGCAGGGGTTTTAGATTGCCGCAGTCCAAAAAAGTTTTCAAATAGTGGAGGTTATTGACCTCTGCAATATACTGTACTGAAAAACAATATTACGTAGTATAGTAGTTCAAAATTCCACAAAATAAATTCCGCAAAAAACCTTCAAAATTCCGCAAAGAACCTTCACTAAATGGTTGGAAAAAAAATAGAATCTTGGTTTCGCATGACGAGAGACCTACACAAGTCTATAATAACCCACATTTTGTGAGTTAATACAAGTTCTAATATTTGAATATTTATTTATTTATTTATCATTCAGTAGTTAAATTCATTGCATTTTGTAGTTTTTAGACTAGTTTGTTAAAAACACAATAAATGCTATATTTAGTAGTTTTTATGTGGCTGTTGCTTTTTGAAAGGTTAATTCTAGGTTGAAAGCAGCTGAGAGTCAAACGAAAGTAGAAGGTTGAAAGCAGTTGAGAAAAAGAAAAGAAAGAAAATCAACAATTTCATATCTACATGACATCAATTTGCATTATAAGGAGTATCAATTTGAAAGGATATGATCAAAGGTGCTAAAAGACAAAAGATAGTACGTAGTACCCCCATTATGCGCGCCACACAACTAAAAGGACAAGCGCCGTCTGCACCTCTGTACTAGCATTCTGCCATGCTACACCTTGTACCCCACCACTGTCTGTACCTGAATTCTTTACTGTACGAATCAGAGAAAAAGGAAGAACTTTGTCGATTTTATTTTGGGTCTGGTTTGATTTATTCTTAAGCACATGATCCAAGACAAATGAGAAAAACCCTAGCTGGAACACTTATAAAAGTAACTCTTGAAGAATGAAGAAGGAGTTCAACATCTATTAGAAACATTCACATATAAGAAACCAATGAAAGAATGAGTTGAGTGAAAATTGAGTTTCTTCTTCTCACCATCTCCTATGCTTACTACAGAATCCTAGCACGACAGAAGTTGTCTTTTGCTGATTATACATTACAAGAAGACAAGACATTGGTCTTAGGTTGTTATTCCTTTTTCACTTTGTGTTTAAGAATGATTAGCTTAATAACCATCATTGTAGTTTGTACTCATCTCATTATGAGCTAAATCTTTGTTTGTTGAGCAATGAAAAGTTGATATAGTGTAGTTTTTATGTTAAACGATGTATTGTTAATGAGTTGTTTTATCATGTGTTAATATGATTTAAATTTGTTTCTTTGATTGATCAAAAGATAAAAACTTGTTGTTATACGAGACCCTTCATCAGTCGAATTTTATGATAAAAGTGGTTGAAAACAGTAGGATACATATATTCACTAGAATAGCTTCTTAGAGATAAGTAACTACAACCATAAATGATTTTCAGAGTAAAAACAAACATGTTTTAGGGTTACAAGTGAGGTTTAGAGATTTGTCCCATTGCTCTAAAACACATGTTTTTGATGTTGTAGAAATACATCTTTAGATCACTTTTTGACCTTTCCTGGCACGATATAACACATCATGTACACATAAATGACTATGTTATATTAATGGATCATTGTCCAACTTACTCTCCATTATTAAATTCAAACCATCTTTTTAATACTGCTATTAATATGTTTATTATTCAACTGAACTTCTTATAATCATATATTATTTTTTATCTTACTCATGCTGATTTATTAAAAGATAGTTTCTTGTACAATTTAACCTAAGATACTTTCCACTCCATGTGGGTTTGATGTCCTTACTTTTTTTTACCATTGACTACTTTAAAACATACATGTATACTTGCATGTGATATCCCACGTTTTCAAGCAATAAGTTTTTGGCGCCGCTTCCAGAGATTGTGTAAAAGATAACATTTCGATTTTGTTTGTAATACTATTTTTTTAATTGACATTTAAACTTTTAATGGTCTCTGTATTCTGGTGTCCCGACAGGTGCTGAGCTATTGCATGTGCAGATTGTTAAATCCAATCTACAAAGGAGATCATGAACCTGAAAGAACATTCAGTTTGCTTCAGAGATTTCAACTTGCTGGAGATTTACCAGGAAACCCTCCTCCTTTTCTTGTTCTTGATCTAGAAGGAGGAGCTAGTTTAGGCAAATATTGTCATGGCAGATAATGACATCATTGGCGTTTCCAATAACAGAGCACGTAGCATCAAAGTCTTTATCGTATTTGATCCAAATGCTACGAACAGTGGCATAATTAGAGCATAAATTATTGTTACCCAGTTTGAATTCAAACAAACGATGTTTCGGATGCTGCAAGCCATTTGTCAGTACTCTAGTGCTACAAATGAAGACCCACGTTTGCATATAAGACAATTTCAGAATATAAAATCCCAATTATTTAATTATAAGATTAATAAAAATGCCAAATAGATCAATCATGTTAAACTCCAATTTTACAAATTATAAAATAATTAGAATAAATCCCACTCTATTAGTCATAGAAGAAATTAAATAAAATACCAATTCATTAATAAATAAATAACGCTTTAATAATTAAATAGAAATTAATTTAAATAACCCTTTATTTAATTATAAAAACCTTCTCATCAGTTATAAAGAATTAATTTAAATAAAACCCTTTTATCATAGATTAAACAACTCTTTTTATTAATTATAAAAGAAAATTAAATAAACCTCTTTATATTAATTAAATATATGAATAAAACCCTTTATATTAAATAAACACATCTTTTATTAATTATAAAACTAACTTGATACCCTTTGTTATTAATTTAAATAAACCCTTTTTATTAAATTAAATAAAGCTCTAAATATTTAATTGTCCAACAATTAAATAAATCCAACCAATATTCCCTAGTTATTTTAGCTAGAAAATTAACTAAATAATTCAAATTAAATCCCAAATTTATCAATGAATATATTATGATAACCCTAAAACTTAGAGATTATCAAGTTATTTAAAATAAACCCTAAATTATTATTTTTTAGGTTAATTAAATAACCTAAATTATTTTATTATTTACTTAATTGAATAATTTAAATAAATAAAATC